TTGGTAGGTCGCCCCAGCGTTCTTGAGTCCGAAGGACATGGTGATATAGCAATACGCACCGAAAGGCGTGATGAACGATGTCTTGATCTGGTCGTCCTCCTTGAGGGATATCTGGTGATAGCCGGAGTAACAGTCGAGGAAGGAGAGTAGTTTGTAGCCGACGGTGGAGTCTACAACCTCATCTATCTGAGGTAGACCGAAGGGGTCTTTAGGGCAGTGTTTGTTGAGATCAGTGTAATCAACGCACATGCTCCATTCTTTATTCTTTTTTTTTGAACAAGAACAGGGTTTGCTAACCACTCAGGATGATACACTTCTTTAATAAATCTGGCAGCTAGGAGCCGTTTTATTTCTACCCTAATAGCCTCCTTGTCTGGCATGAATCGTCGAAGTTTCTGCTTAATCGGTTTGGCGGTCGGCGAGACATTCAAGGAGTGCCCGATCTTCTCCCGCGGTACCCCCAGCATGTCTGTAGGTTTTCAAGCAAATACATCGGCATTGGCACATAGGAAGGAGACAAGCGCGCTTTCCTATTTGGGGTCGAGGTGAGCCCCAACCTTCCTAGTCTTGGTGGGGTCGTCGAGCCCGAGGCCGACCTCCTTCATTTCCATGAACTTGGCGAAGGCACGTGGAGGCTCCAACATTGGGATCTCTAGGTCATCGGCGGGCACCGTCTTAGCATCGGTGACCACGCTAGCCATCTGGATGGAGAGGTCGGTGGCTTCAGCGAGGGCGAGACTCTCTGTCTCGCAGGCGTAGGCGATGGAGAGGTTGGCCCACAGGGCCAGAACTCCTGCAGATGAAGGCATCTTCAACACTAGATAGGCATAGTGCGATACGAACATGAACTTGGCCAGAGCTGGCCGACCAAGTATGGTGTGGTAGGTGGTGTTGAAGTTGGCGACGTAGAAATTGATGTACTCAACACAGTAGTTGCTGGCTGTGCCAAATTGTACTAGGAGGGTGATCTCTCCAAGCGTCTTGGATGCCCTGCCAGGTACCACACCACAGAAGGAGGAATTGGAGGGTGTGAGGTCTCCTATCCCAAGGCCCAGCTCCTTTAGGGCTCTGGTGAAGAGGAAGTTCAGAGCACTTCCACCGTCGACTAGTACTTTCCTGAAAAGCACTTTCCTGATGGTTGCGTCAAGAACAAGGGGGAAACGCCCTATGTAAGGGATGTCCGCCCATTGGTCGGCCCTACTGAAGGTGATGGGGACCTCGAACCAGGGGCGATAGCTAGGGTTGGCGATGGCGTCTTTTGCGTTAACGGCGAGCACTCGGCGGCGGTGAGCTTCCAATCTCTTCTACTCTCGGCGGTGGTGAGGCCCCCAAAGATAGTGGCGACCACTTTGTCATGATCCTGGAAGGCGTTGTTGTTGTCCCAGGTGGTCGGTGGCCTCTGGCCCCATCGTCATTGTCGTCGTCCGCTTTTTGGCCTAGAACTCCTTAGCCAAGCCGAGGCAGTCCTTCATCTTGTGCTTGCTGTTCTTGAGGAGGGGGCATGGGCCTTCGAGGATCTTCTTGTACTACTCATCGTAGTTGTGCTTGGGGCGAGGTTCGTCAACGGTGGCGACGATGAGGTCTGGTCACCTGCGGTGATATTGACCAGATTTGGACCCTTCTGGCCGATCACGGCCACCGTCCCGATGGTGACTACGGTCGTCGTAGCGGCGGTCGCTATGGCATCGGTCGTCGGGTCGCTCATCGTTGCGGCGAGTTGGGCGATGAGTGCCCACATCCTCATTGAAGCGTACTTTGGCCTCTTCGGCGTTAGCATACTGATCGACAGTTGAAATCATCTCGCCAATCCCCTTTGGCGGCTTGTGATTGAACTTGGAGCAGAGGTTGCGGTGATGGAGTCCTCGGACGAAGGTGGTGATGACTTCAGCTTCCGTCATGTTGGGATTAGAATTCCTCATCTCGAAAAAGCGTCTGATGTAGCTACGGAGGAGCTCGAACAATTTCTGATAGAAGCGGTTCAGATCGTGCTTGGTGCCCGACCGAGTACACATAGCCATGTAGTTGTCGGTGAAGACTTTCTTCAGCTCTTCCCAGGATCCTATGGAGTCCGGGGCGAGGCTTGCAAACCAGTTCATCGCAGTTGGCGTGAGCATGATGGGAAGATAATTCGCCATAACACTGGTATCTCCTCTGGCGGCATGCACTGCAGTGCATAAGCTTGTAGCCACTGTGTGGGGTTCAACCGTCCCTCATAGGGCTTGACCCCGGTGATTTTGAAACCATGGGGCCACTAGAGTGTTTGGAGTGCCCTCGTGAATGCTCGGGGCCCTTCAGGATCATCGCCGTCGTGATCTGCAGCGTTGCCGGCGTTGAGTGGCTGGAGGGCTGAGTCTGGATTACCGAACTCTTTCTCGTATTCTTGACGCCGGCGTACTTCTTCTTCATGGTGAGAGAAACGGCACCCGTCAATATGACGACGCGCATCACGAAGATTGTTGATGTGCGCTTAGACGTCTTGGTCGACTTCTTGGTTGTTTTGGCGAGGGTAGTCGATGCGGTTCCCCTAGCTCCCCCTGGAGGGGTTCTCCATCATCGTGGTGCTGGTCGGCGAAATGACTTCGGCTGGGGCAGCGATTGGATCTTGGCACAGCGGATCGGCAAATTGAGCTCGTCGAGTAGGAAGGTCTCTGATCCTGGTGGATCTCGTTGACCTAGCAGTGTGTAGCTTTGAGCATTGCAGCGCCCTTGGCGACTTTTGGTGTTTGTTCAAGCCGGGTGAGCTCATTGGCGGCCATAGCCAAGTTGGCGCTTGAGGTCTTGTAGACGTCGTGGCCGTCAACACGGACAAATTTATCGTCGAGGTTGCGTTGGAGTGGGCGTGGCCTCCCTTGTGAGCCGAGCTGTTTGTTGCGAGCAGCTTTGGCTAGCACAATGGTGGCCTAATTTGCTATGCACTGCGCACGGTTGGCGTTCCTATTGACACGAGCGGCGCGGTCCTCGTCGGTTTCTCCATCCCTTAGAGGGCTGTCGATGCTGATGTTAAAAATCCCACCTTCTCGGAAGGGTGGGAAAGGAGGTTGTACGGCGATGGTTTCAGCGACAGTCTCCGTAGAGCCCTGGGACTCGGAGTCTGGATTTTCCTCTAGGATGGTTTGGAGGGATGCTTCGGGACGTCGGCCGATGTGCAGCATGTTGACAGTTGGCGGGAGCTGGTCGGTGATCTGGTCGACGAGAGGATAGATGTCTCCCACCTGGTCGACGAATTTGCCCCTTAGGGCATCTTGGTAGGAGGCGGCGACGCTGGTGAGCCCAAAAGGTAGGGCCGTAACCCCTGGAGTTTCCCGATCCGCCTTCGATAGATCTGAATCGGAGGGTGGTCGGCGCTGGACCAGAGTGGTCAGAGCCGGTTCTGCGATGGAGAGGCAATCGGCGAGCTTCTGGCCAACCTTATCGATGGATGCGATCAGATCGTCGTTGTTGATTTGCCTCCTTGGGTAGTGGGGGAGCGGGCAGCGAATTGTCGGCGAAGACGACCTTGGAGGCGGTTTCGAGATCGGATCTACAGTTGTATGTGTTGGGGTGATCGACGCAGTATTGATTTGCACTGGCTCGATAAGCTCTCCAACTCCATCAGCATTGATGATCCAGGAGATCGATCCTACCGTGAAGATCTGGCCGGGCTGTGGGAGGGACGAAGAGCCTGCAAAACGTACCATCTTGTTCGACATGGAAACAGCACGCACACCCCTACCTAGCGCGCCAACTGTCGACAGAATATTGTCGGCAGTCCTCCGAGGGGCATCCCACGAAGGTAGATTGATCAGCAGAGATGCGTGTAATCGAGAACAAGAAGGCAACAGAGACACACGAGTTAGATAAGTTCGGGCCGTCAACACGATGTAATACCCTACTCTTGTGATCTGTTGGGTTATATTGGCTATCGTATGATATTACATGTGTTTGGAGGGTGTCCCTGCCCGCCTTATATAGTCTGGGGGCAGGGTTACAAGTCGGTTAGATCTATGAGATAACCGGAAAGTAATAACAGATTACAGGAATCATGGGATCATATGTATCATAACACTCATAGTATCTTCAGGATATCTTTCCGGTGTCTTGCGGGACACGCCGAGCAGCGCCGTGCCCCGCAAGGCTTCGTCTTGTGGGCTAGGCCACCCTGGGGCGCAGCCCATGTGACTACCGTTGGTATCGGGGTCGTACGCCCCACAATAGGCTTGCAACATGCGCATATTGACATTGCAATATATGCAACATCTTAGATACACTTTTGCCACATTCAGATAAAACACTTGAAACATAAGTCTGAAACGTCTAGAACACTTGAAACACGACGTCGCTTGCGGCCACAACCTACCTGGTGGGGGACTACGGTAGCCAACAAACTCGGGTCCAGAGGGAATGTCGAGAGCAAAAGACTCAGCGTGCACAGGCCTCTCCTTCATGCCACAGTGTTTTTGGCCGGACACGAGAGATGAAGTGTCCGATGGCGACTTTTTCCTGGTGGCGCCGGGGTGGTGGTGGCATGGTGCTCGCCATGGCCGTGACAGGCTAGGTGGATAGGGTTGAGGTGTGCGATGGTGGAGCAGTGCGGCATGGCAGGGGAAGGGCACGACACACGTGGGGGATGGGCGGGGTGCGGCAGGCGGATGAGTAGCCATGGGCCCAAGCAAGACGAGTGGATAAGCGGAGCGGACATTTTTTTTAGATAGAACGGATGAGTGGATGAGCCGCGTCGGACGGAGCCAACCATTATCGAATTTTTAACTTGCTAATGATTAGCCCGTGTATGGATCCTCAGTGACAAATTTTTTTTAGGGAGGGAGCAAGAAACAAAGAAAAGAAAAGGAAAGCAGTTGTGTACCAGCGCGCTTCACTTGAGTCCCCAATTTCAAATCCCCACCTCGTTGTCTCCAAAACCGTCGCCTGCCTCCATTCGACCATATCCCCTCCGCTGCCCAGCGCCACCTCCGGAATCCCTAACCCTCCGAGGAGGTCCAGCCCGCTTCTCGGCGTTAGCCATGACGGAGAACCCCGGCGCCAAGGCTGCGTCGGCGCAGGTCTGGAGCCGCGTCGCTCTCGGGAATCTCACCAACGTCGCCGCCGCCGCCGGCAGGCTCGGCGCCCCTGATGCGGTACGTACGGTATGGTTTTTGCATTACGTGATATATCGGGTTCCATGTGCAAATCAGTTTTCATGTGCTGATAGATTGCTCACCGGGTTGGTACGCCCCGCATTCGAGCATGATACGGAAGTTCAGTGTGGCATCCGTTCAGTTTCTGGGCGTGCCACTGCTCTCATAGACTGATATGGTTGGAACTGTGACATTCTTCAGTTACCGCAACGGGAACTCATTCCCTGACCCCCTTTTGAAAAACAAAAAACTCGATCCGCGGGGACGACGTCCCACCAGATATTTTATTAAGAAGACCTTCTCATGCGACCGAGAAAATCTCTGAACCCGGCCCCACCCATATACAGTGGCACCGCATCCCCGTGAGACAGGATGACCACAGACCTGTGCTTTGGCGTGGGATAGACGAGGGGATTTTTTTACCCTCAGGCCTAAAATTCGCCCCCGAGGGGGATCGAACTTGGGAACTGAGGGATGCCGCAGGAAGCGTCGACCAACCGGTCTAGCTTCCGTTGGCCCTGACCCCCTTTTGACTTCTCCAGCACCAGTTGAGAGCTCACCCAGTGGCAAAATCTGCAAACCAAGCATAAACAATTTATTGGTGAGATTTGAGAATAAGAAAAACATCCAAACATCAAAAGGAAGTGGCAATTACAGCAGAAACACACTTGCATAGTTTTCTTGAAGAGAAAAGAATCCCATGGGCAAGTGCCAAACTCCATTAATCAATGAATCTTTTTACCATTCAATCCATTTTGTTACATGATGTTGTATCAATATCTGACAAACTGACAATGAGAATGCTTCTCTGACTACTTACATGTACCCTTTGTAATCTGTTTACTTCAATCTTATGCAAATTTCCAAAGTCAGTAACTCCCTTTTACCGATATGATATATATATATAGGAAAAGGAAGTGGATGAAGCTAGAAAGTTAAAATCTTGCTCCAGAAATGTTGAGTGGCTAAAAGAAAAGCTATTGAAGGAGCAGGAGCACAGGGAAAGAGAGCTGAAGGAAATTGAAGCTATGGGCCTGACCCAATCCACTTCCTTTTGGCTTCAATATGGATGGTGCAAAGTGCTGCTCAGCAACAAACCTGATGTGTCTCCTTATAGCGACTTACCCCAAAAGTATCTATACATTATTACTATCCCGATCCTATTTTTTGAGCATATATACAGAGTATTATCTTGTATTATGACCATAGATACAAAACTGTACAATTCACTACATGCAAATGAACTATAAAATTGCTGGCTTCTTTTGCTGAAACCTTGCACAAAAGATTGATTATTTAGTCAAACTCAATTCTTAGTTATCTTTCTCAGATAAAATTCATTTAGTCATCTGAATGTTGACAGGCAAGCATTAACAAATTTGAACGAAGTTGGTGAAGCTACCCTTACCAAGGATAGTGCTGAAAGTTCTACTGGGGAGGTCAACTGGCTTGAATATCTGGTATTATCTTGCCGTCACCTGCCATACTAGACCTTTCATCTGTTTTCCAGTTTTTATTCACTATGCAATGTTGTGCTAAAAGTTCACTTGTCTCCCTAGCAGTTCTTGCCATCTCCTGCCCAAGATTTCTCAAAAGAAATTCATGTGATACTAGTATGGGTGTTGTTTCATGTGCCAAGAATACATACTTTGATTTTGATCTTTGTTGTTCGTTTCATTCTGGACAGCTTGCTGCACTAAGTGAAGAAAGAGATAAACCAATGAACCACCAACCTATTGTGACTAAACAGGAAACAAGAAATGCTGATGATACATCGTTGAAGGTTGGTCAATTCTTATACTCATAAAGTTGGTGGCTTTTGTTCCTATCTCCTCTCTGAAGAACATTTTTTTTCTGATGCAATACTGCAGGATATGTTTTCAGGTGTACATGGAATGGGCAAAACAATTACAGCACTGGAGAGAATTATAGACGAACTGATTAGTCGTCAGGACAATGAACGCAGTATTTTCAATGAAAGATTGAGCATCGAAAGAGGCAAAGTGCAATCTTTACAGCGAGAGAGGGATCAGCTACATTCACAGGTGGCCCTACTACAGTCAAAGGTAAGGACAGATGTGAGAATATTTCTGTTATCTGGAGTACTTTGAGAAAAAAGGCAGCCTAGCATATCCTCATCATAATTCTCAAATTTGGATTAATCTCTATGTGGGCATGTTATCCAAAACCTTATGTCCTTTTTCTTTTTTGAAGAGGAAACATTATTGTAGGTTCCTAGGCAATATAGAGAAGGTTTATCCATTAATGTACATGAAATGGAGAAAGAGAATGACATGCAGTTTTCCTCCATTTTTATGGAAAATGCAGGAGAGCTGCGTATCATTATATTTAGAAGAAAAAGGGGTAAGAACGCTTACAGCACCACACACACTTCCAACGCACTTATAGGTTCCTAAAATATGTGTGCCACAAAAACACATAGACTGACCACAAACTCTAACACCGACAAATTAACCTTCAGGAGGCGCTAGGGCAAGGAGGTGAGTAATACCTTGCTCCCTGACCAAATCCCAAAAGTGTAACTCCTCTACAGCATGTCACGGACCGGTGGCGTTGGACCCCGACTACATAGCCCGTAGTCGTGATTGGTAAAGGGGCGAGATTTTTCCTCTCTGCGCCCTATGTTGGAGAATAGGACAAAATGGATAGAGATTAATTCTTTGCTTCATTGATTCTCGGTCCTGAAGGTAGATTACATAGCCCTTTGGGCGACCAACAAATCCTCCTAAACCTTAGGCATAACATGTGCTTTCCTAACTGACTTAAACTAGGCCCGCCTGGGCGTGGTGACTGCGCCTATGGCGTGCCCATGGCCTTCTCAGCTAGTGTGTCGATGTCTTCCCATGTAGTAGACGCCATCGGCTCGCCCTTCCATTGGATGAGCACCTAGCGGACACCGCGTGATAGGCGTGTGCACACCGCGCCCTTAGGCTCCGGAACGGCAGCGCCATAGTGCATGGCCGGAAGAGGTGGTGGCGCATCCGGAGGTGTCTCGACGAATTTCTTGAGGCTGACCTGGAAGACGTTGTGGAGACGCGCCCTGGGGGGTAGGGTGAGCCGGACAGCGACGTTATTGATGACTGCCTCAACGCGGTATGGCCCGTAGAAGCGGGGGCATAGCTTGCCAGTTATCGCGACCGGAAGAGATGCCGGGGTCCGGTGGTGAACACACAGCCACACCCAATCCTGTTGGCGTACTGGACCTCGCGGTGGTGCTTGTAGACCGTTGGTGCCTGCTCGAGCCGGTAGCAGACGTCCGCCAGTAACTCATCGCGATCCGCCATGTTCTTAGCCACCGTGGCGACCCGAGTCTCACCCGGTTCATAGGAGCGGATTGAAGGGGCTGTTGGCCATAGACGACCTAGAATGGCGTGTCATATTAGGAAGATCGTGTTGTAGATGTACTCTGCCCAAGGAAGCCAGCACAACCACTGGCGTGGTCGATCCCCCATGAAGCACCGAGAGGTACATGGCGATGACCTTGTTTGCCGCCTCAGCTTGACCGTCCAACTAGGGGTGGAAAGGAGTGGTCATGTGGAGCTTGGTGCCATTCAACCGCATCAGCTCCCGTCAGAATGTGGAGGTGAACACCGAGTCTTGGTCCGACACCATAATTGTGGGATGCCGTGGAGTCGCACGATGTCGCCGAAGAATGCCTTGGCCACCGTCTACGCCAAATACGGGTGGGCGAGCGGAATGAAATGGCAATTCTTGCTGAAGCGGTTGACCACCGTAAGGATCACCGACTTGCCACCCACGCGTGGGAGAAATCTGGGCCAATGTCCACCCAGACCACCTGCGGCACCGGCAGCGGCATCAGGAGCCCTGCTGGATGCAAATGCTCGGCCTTGTACTGTTGGCATGTGGAGCAACTGTGAATAAAATCCTGGACCACAAAACGAAGGTTAGGAGTGTGGAAATCTCGGCGGAGCCTGTGCGTGCGTTGGCTGCCCTTGTGGCCGTCGTCATGGACGGCAGACACTAGCTCGTGTAGGAGGAGCAATGTTGGCGTGATGTAGAGCTTCGATCGAAGACGACCAGGCCATCGATGATGGACCAAGGCCTGGTCTGCTGACCTGCCTTAGTCTCTTCCCAGAGAGCGACCAGTGCAGGGTCTGTGGCCTGAGCTTGGCGGAGGCGATTGAGGAAGTCAAACCGGGGCGACGAGATGGCGAGAACGGCACCCACCTCTGTGTCGTGGCGTGACAGAGCGTCAGCCTTGGTGTTGGTGCTGCCTGGCTTGTACTCCATGGCGAAATCGAACCCCAGAAGCTTGCCCACCCAATGGTGCTGAGACGCTAATCCAATAAATATTTGAGGCTGAAATGATCCGTCCTCACTAGAAAGCGGTGTCCCCAGAGATACGACCGCTAGTGCTGAATGGCCTGCACCAGGCCTATCAGCTCTCGCTCATATGCAACACCACGCCGAAGCCATGGCTTGAAGCATCACACTCGACGACGAACTGCTCCGTGAAGTCTTACAGCACCAGCACCAGCGCTGCGGTGAGTGTGGTCTTTAGCGCGTGGAAAGCTGATGGAGCTTCCTTCGATCACAGGTACCTGCCCTTGCAGAGCAGGGTTGTGAGTGGTGCGGCGATGGTGTCGCAGTCCCGCACGAATTTGCTGATAGTATCCCGCGAGGCCGAGGAGGCCGCTGAGATGATGTGGCCCAAGTACCTTGGCCAGATCCATGATCACGCCGGCCGCCGAGATGATGTGGCCCATGTAAGAGATGGAGGCCATCCCAAATGCATACTTGGACCGCTTGACGAAGAGCTTGTGCTGCTGGAGGATGGTGGGCTCCGCGTGCAAATGGCGGAGGTGATCAGTCCATGAGCTGCTGAAAATCAGGATGTCATCGAAAAAAAATGAGCACGAACCGGCAGAGGAAGGGCGTAGCACATCATCCATTAGCACCTGAAATGTTGTCGGGGCATTGCACAGCCCAAACGGAATGACCAGGAACTCGTAGAGGCCATCGTGTGTCCGGAAGGCCGTCTTGGCCACGTCTCCAAGTGCATGCGGACTTGATGGTAGTCGGAGCGAAGGTCGAGCTTGGTGAAGAACCGGGCACTGTGCAGCTCACCGAGGAGTTCATCGACCACCAGAATAGGGAAAGCATCCTTGACTGTGAGGGCATTGAGGGTTCTGTAGTCGACGCAAAAACGCCACAAGCCGTCAACATTCTTCACCAACAAAACCGGTGAAGACAAGGCGGATGAGCTGCGCCGAATCAGTCCCTGGTCCAGCATGGATGCGCATTGGCGTTCCAACTCCTTGTGCGTGGCCGGGTAGCGATAAGACAAACGATCACTGGCCGACCCGCAGAAGAGTGATCTTTGTGGTCGCATGTATCTGGCGGCGACAACTGCGGCTCGGACTTGACTGGGCGTGAAATTGGCGAGGAGGGCTTCCAGGAGGTCGATAGGAGCGAGAGCGGAGGCTGGGGTCGCTAGAGCCCGCCCGCCAGCTAGCTAGCAGACTTGGTGACCGCTGCGCCAGAACGACATGGTGAGGGCCCCGAAATCCCATAGAATGGGCCCAAGAGTCTCGAGCCACTGCGTGCCTAGCACCGCGTCGTAGCTGACTAGATGGAGGGCAAAGAAATCCACCTGGAACGCCTCCCCGTCGATGGAGAAAGGCGCGCTGATACCAAGATGTCACGGACAGGTGGCGTCGACCCGAACTATGTAGCCTGTAGTCATGATTGGTAGAGGGGCAAGGTTTTCCCCCTTTGCGCCCTATGTTGGAAAATAGGAGAAGATAGGATAGAGATTAATTCTTTGCTTCATTGATTCTCAGCCCCGAAGGCAGATTACATAGCCTCTCGGGCGACCAAGAAATCCTCCTAAATCTTAGGCATAACATGTGCCTTCCTAACTGACGGAAACCAGGCCCGCCTGGGCGTGGTGACCATGCCTATGGTGCGCCTGCGGCCTTCCCATCCCATGATCTGTGGGAGTATTGTCTCCCCCACATGACAACGCACGAGCAACACTAAGAGAAGCACCATCAGAGATACACTTATTGTGGTCATTCCACAAAGTCCAAGTGCCCAAGATCACAAGGGAATTGAGCCTGTTCCGCAAAACATCAACAACCTCCTTGGAAATCCTATCCCACCGGCCATCAAAGTACTCATTTTGCTGCGGACAGAGATGCTGCAATCCAACATTTCGCAGAAGAGAACCAGAATTCCTGAGCAAAGACACAAGACATCAGCAGGTGGTTAATGCTTTCAGCAGCTTGATCACAATGTGGGAAGTTTGGAGGATGGGGGAGACCACGCCTTGCAAGTTGATCCGCCGTCCAAAACCTGCCCCATGTTCGAGGAAAAAAAATAGTAAGAGAGTAGAAGTCCCAATTATCGTAATTTTGTTAATAGCTAGGGGCCAATTTAAAATGAGTCGTTTTTTTCATCCTATGCATACGTAGGGCACATTCTTGTTTGTACCTGCCATATTGGTGTATATTTTCAAATTCAATGTAGATCATTCCAACACAAGCATGTCCACGTGTCTTCTCCAGATATTACAGCTGAGACATGAGTTCTGTATGGGAGCTTCTGCTCTGCCTATGTGCTGGCTGCAGAAGCATGATGGTTTTGAAATGTTATAAGTATTAATTCAGCAGTTTACCTTCATGTGAATAACTGACGAATTATTTTGTTCTGAAGATGCTATTATGTTGACTTGTGAAGGCTGAGTTGTGTTATCTAGTTTCTAGCCATCAGATAAATAGACATAACACCCTTCAACAAAAACGTTAATTAAGTGTACAATGAATTCTCTTGGTGAAGGAGGATGAGATCCGACATCGATGGCAAGAGTATTTTGACAAATTGTTCAATGGTGAGAATACGGACATAACCTTTCAGTTGGATGACTCTTTTGATGACACCAATAGGCGCTTTGTGCGGAGAATCTAAGAATCTGAGGTCAGAGAGGCGTTGAAAAGGATGAAAGGAGGTTAAGACGATGAGACCGGATGGTATCCCAATCGAGGTGTGGAGATGCCTCGGGGACATAGCTATAGTATGGCTAATCAAGCTGTTCAACTATATTTTTCGATCGAATAAGATGCTTGACGAGTGGAGGAGAAGTATATTGGTACCGATATACAAGAATAAAGGGGATATTCAAAGTTGTATTAATTACCGGGGAATTAAGTTGATGAGCCATACTATGAAGCTATGGGAGAGAGTTATCGAGCATTGCTTGAGAGCAATAACGCGGGTCTCTATAAACCAATTTGGTTTTATGCTCGGAAGGTCAACCATGGAAGCCATTTTCTTAATAAGACAAGTTATGGAGCGGTATAGGGAGAAGAAGGACCTACACATGGTTTTTATCGACTTGAAGAAGGCTTATGATAAAATACCAAGGAATGTTATGTGGTGGGCTTTGGACAAATATAAAGTCCCAACGAAGTACGTCGGGCTCATTAAAGACATGTACAACAATGTTGTGACTACTGTTCGAACAAGTGATGGAGAGACGGATGACTTCCCGATTAGGATAGGACTACATCAAGGGTCAGCTTTGAGCCCTTATCTGTTTGCCTTAGTGATGGATGAGGTTACAAGGGACATACAAGAGGACATCCCTTGGTGTATGCTTTTCGCGGACGATGTAATGCTAGTTGATGAAAGTCGGACAGGAGTGAATCAGAAACTGGAGTTATGGCGGGAGACTTTAGAGTCCAAAGGTTTTAGACTCAGTAGAACTAAAACTGAGTATATGAGATATGACTTCGGCACTATAACTCGGGAGGAGAAATATATTAGTTTGGAAGGTCAAGTAATGCCTAGGAAGGATATCTTTCGATATTTATGATCAATACTACAGAGAGACGGAGATATTGATGAAGATGTTAGCCATAGAATAAAAGCAGGGTGGATGAAGTGGCGTCAAGCATCTGGTGTCCTATGTGACAAAAGGGTACCACAGAAGCTAAAATGCAAGTTTTATAGGACGACGATTAGACCTGCTATGTTGTATGGTGCAGAATGTTGGCCTACGAAGAGACGACGTGTTCAACAGATAAGTGTCGCGGAAATGCGTATGTTGCGTTGAATTTGCGATCATACAAGAAGGGATCGAGTTCGGAACGATGATATACGTGATAGATTAGGGGTAGCACCAATTGAAGAAAAGCTTGTCCAACACCGGTTGAGATGGTTTGGACATGTCCAACGGAGACCTCCAGAGGCACCGGTGTGTAGTGGAATCCTAAGCCAGGATAGTAACGTGAAGAGAGGCAGAGGAAGACCGAAGTTGACTTGAGTAGAGGCAATAAAAGGAGACTTGAAATGATGGAATATACCCAAAGACTTAGCCTTAGATAGGAGTGCTTGGAAAACAGCTATTCACGTGGCTGAACCTTGATTGCTTCTGCTGGGTTTCAACTCTAGCCTACCCCAACTTATTTGGGACTTAAAGGCTTTGTTGTTGTTGTTGTTGTAAGTGTACAATGAATCACCAATCACTATGACCTGAATAACACTAATTCGATATACTCCCTCCATTCCAAATTATAAGATATTTTGATTTTTTTGGTACATAGATTTTGCTATACACTTAATATACATTTTGTCTAGATACATAATAAAAATAATATATCTAGAAAACAAAAACATCTTACAACTTAAAACAAACGGAGTAGTAAATTCACAAACCTAACAATATTTTGGGCTAATAATCACAAACCTACCACATTTTGTGCTCATTTCGCAAACCTATCAATATTTTAGTTTTTCTTCTCACAAAATGACTTTGTAAGCATTTCCCCACAAATTAATGATTAGGCCCACATGTCAGTCGTACATCAAATATTCACATGTGGGCCCAACTGGTCATGAACATATTGTTGACATGTGGGCCCATCTGCATGTGAAAGTAGAATAATCACAAAGTTATAGTTTTATGAGAACCCAAATTGTGGTGGGTTTGTGAAAAGGGCACAAAATGTCGTAACTTTTTTGTGACAATTAGCCCAAAATATTGGTAGGTTTGTGGAGTTTACTCAGTTTCATATGTGGTGTTCTTTTCTGTGTTCAGTCCTTCTAGTAGTCTGAATGTCTTTTTTCATATTTGACAGTTAGGTGGAGATTGCTCTACTTCAAACACAAAAATACCATGTGTAGTAAATACTCTTGCAGTGGACAGTGAAGCAAAGCCCAATCTAAACAAAACAGAAAATTGGCTGAAGACAGTTGAAGAATTGAAGGCACAGGCTAGTAAGTGGTTTTATTACTTGTACTAATTACTATCTACACATCTGGTTTGGATGTTAAAAAAAACTTCAATGTCATGTAATATCAGGTGGCCCAAAGAAACAGCCTGTTGTCATTGAAATTTGTGATGATGAGGATGCATGCATTTGGTGTGATGATGATGAGAAGCCTTCTCTGAAATCAAATGCCTTGGGCAGTGGCGAACCAGGTACGGGTTCATATCTTTATCAAGTATAGGAAAGGTTTTGACATTGGTATTAACTATTTATATCTTACACAAAGATAATACTAGGAGATTCTAGAGTAATGAAAATATTGAATCAAATATTTTATGCTTTAAGTGATGTGTTCAGCAGGCAGTTTCAATATTTTTTTTGACTGTTTGCAATTTCAATAGTAGTGTCGTTCCATATATATTGACAGGTTCTGTAGTACATTTGTAGTCAGGTTTTTTCTGCTCTATTTGTATAACAATAACCTAAGTATGCTGTATGTGATGCATTGCCTAATACAATATCAGAATATTGGTTGATTATATGGTACATGCGTTTCAGAATTGTTGTATTTTACATTTTAGTATGTGGCAGGGAGTGAACCGAGCCAACTTACGGGGTTGTATGAATGGTTTTTCCGTGGTAATAAACTAATGCTCTCTTCTGGAATGAAGAAATACCTGAGAGAGCTCTGTGGTTGTGTACCGCCAGAGATCCCATTCTATATATATCAAATGAATAAATCGAACTTGAAGAGTAGGGGGAAGATGGTTAGCTCCAATCCTTCTTATTTGGATTTGTCAGATGATTTGTTTCCTATGCTATGAAAACTATGATTTATAGTTAATTGTTTGCATTTTTCTGTTTCAGCGGCTCTCTGCAAAGTACATCTCTAAGCCCTTGCTTTCTTGCCTGCACAAAGGGGCGGGCTATGCTCATTTTGAACTCGATGGGGAATATCGTGGTACTGTTAGAGTGAAACTTAACCCAGATGGCCGTGCAAGTCTCACATCAGGCTGGGAAAATGTGGTTGCAGATAAGGATATTAAAGTTGGTGACATATGCGCCTTCCACTTTAAGATTTCTGATGGTGCTCTTAAGCTGTCTGTCTATGTGTTCCATCCGGTACGCCACTTGGTGTTGGTGAGATAACTCTAAGTCAAGTGCCCTTGGCCGTGTAATATAGGTAACGTTGCTAGGACTGTAGTAATGCCCGTGGAATGGAGAAGGCATGTAATGTTGGTAGGACCGTATGACAAAAGCCGTGCAAGTCACGTGTTTTGGTAGTGTAGTGTAGTGTAACATTGCTAGGACTGTAAAAGCTATGCCAGTGGAATGGGAAGCGCAGGTAACATTGCTAGGACTGTATGACGCAAAAGCTGTTCTTCTGGTGTTCAATGTTATGTATTATTGCAGGGTTTTTTTAGTGGATTTTTTTGAGTGGAATGTATTACTGCAGGTAACATTTCTTTTTACCTCTTCATGGATAATCCATTATCCAGATTTCTCGGTGTGCCCTGGTAGACCTCTTTCAGTTCGTTCGGCTGTATTACTTTCAGCTTGTTTCAGCTTATTCTCTCTCACAGAATACTATTCAATCATCTAAAATAAACCAACTGTCCACTATTGAACCTACCAGCTGAACGAGGTGTTTAAATTTTATCCACTTCACACTATTTTGTTCCAGATTTTGCTTGTCAAGCAAGAGAGAGGGAGGTAGCCCCATAAGCTAGAGAATATCATTCCCGGGTCATGGTCTTAACAGGTGGTGATATCCCTCTTATCACTACTGGTTAGTGACTCTAACTGGTAGTGATATATCATTCAGATTTTGAATCCATCCGGTAGGAATAAGTGTCTTCCACTATAGAACCATTTTTGGGGGCGTATCTTTTTGGTTGAGGTGGCTCTATAAAAATTTGCCTTTAGATTTTGTTTTTGAGCTTGCCATCCTCTATAAACCAATTTTTAGAGGGGGTCAGGCTTTCGAGCTAGGTCTAGAAATATCCTCTATTTTTAGAGGTGGCTCACAAGTTGAACAAACTCTAAAATTAGAGGCGATTGACAATTTGGCTTGCATAGGTGTAGCACAGTAAAAGATTTATAACTTTTTCAAATCACGTTGGGTAAAGACAAACTTTATGTAGAAATTGTAGTACTTAAATATATTTATAATTTTGTAGTTGATGACTTTTCCATTTAAAATTACTTAAGGCTTGAAATTTTGTTTTAAGTTTTTATATTTTGAAATTCAATATTCCAATTTTTCTAAAATGACCTTAGATGGACAAACGATTAAACCAAAATTATAGTACTTCAAAGTATCTGCAACTTTGCAGTTGACTGCCTTTTCATTTGAAGTCATTTAGCGCCCATAAATTCTATTTTATGTTTTTATTTTTTTTTATTTTGTAAAGTATATCGGATGGAGAAACAGTCAAAACCAAAGTTGTATCGAAGAGATATGCAAATTTATTGTTGATAACTTTTTCGTTTGAAATCATGTAGCGCCTATAAATTATATTTTAAAATTAATGATTTTGAAATTTATATTTTTTAAAAATTTTAAAGTGACTTTGGATGGAAACATGACCTAAACCAAAGTCGTGTACTTGAAGAGATAAAATTTTCAGTTCAAACTTTTTTTATGTGAATTCATTTAGATTCTCAAATATACATTGCAATATCACTAAAGTGAATACAAAAGGATGTGTCATCCACTTAGTTACAAGTGACTTTGAGGCACAGTGGTGAGGAAGCAACACGTGACTTCTGACTTGGTTGGTGGACTTCAATGGAGTTAAAAAAAGTTCTGCTAGTTTTTTGTCCTGATTTATAAATTATGTAAAACGGTTTTAGAGGCGACTAGGTTTGGCCTGCCTCTAGAAATCGTCTCTAGAGGCAGCTAGGTTTCTATAGACATATTGCCTCTACAAATGGTTTTCAGTCGTTCGTCGGCTCCCTAATCATTGGATGGATTTTCAGCTTAAGGCCCAGCATTGAAGCAAGATCACTGCCGGTTCTAGCATACCTAACAGTGATGGCTCAGCAAGAATTGTCGGGTAATGGTTGACTTCTGGTTCATATTAATTAGTCCTTAATCCTCTTGTGCAGTTGAATAGACGATTCCTTATACTCCCTCAATCCAAAAAAAAGGCAATTATGGGATCCGCGCCGGTCAGACAAGCTCAAGTTTGACCAAGTTTATAGCAAATAATATTAATATTTATGTCTTATTATGAAAATATATTTTATTACTAATTTAATGATACTTATTTTATATTATAAGTATTTGTAATTTTTATATTAATTCTGTTCTAAATTATAAGACGTTTTGACTTTTCTAGATACGTTGCATTTGCTATGCACATGAATATTCTAGATACATAATAAAAACAATATATCTAGAAAAAGGCAAAACGTCTTACAATTTGAAAAGGATTTAGTATGAATTTAGTTAAAATTCAAATTCTTTGACTTCGAAAAACGAGAATCGTATTCTTTTACAAAGGAGGTAGTACTTGTTGAGTTCGTGCTTAGATTGGGTTGACCCGGTCCATTGCTTGCACAGCCCACTCGTTGGCCAGCCCGCTCTATTCAGTAGACAGGCCAATGTGTAACAAGCCACATCAATACATTTTCATCCATACAATTCAGTTCCCGTTTATTTATACTCTGATTTTTATTGTTATAGGGGTTATATATGATATACATGCAGTCCAATTTGTTTGTAGCATTGGCTAGGTTTGTCGTGTATCTCAGCCCCACCTATACCTTTTCTACCGGATCAAACTATTCTAAATAAAATATGTTCCAGTGTTTTTGTTCTCCCTCCTTTTCTCTTTGTTTTATATATATATAATACTTTCTTGACTTTTATTCTACTCCAGAATCCAGATACTTAGGTTTTTTTGTTCTACATATCTTAGTTTTTGTTCTATAAATCTTTTTTAAAGCAAAAGATTTTTTTCTAAACGAATGAGAAAAGAGGACTACCTGTTATATTAAAAAAAAGGTGAGCCAAGATAGACCAAAAATAAGACTGTACATAGAACTATACAAAGAGTGTAAATGAAAAACTCTCAATGTCGGTCTGTCAAAATTGGCAGATGTTTTGCTCTTGCCATGATCCACACTTGGCTTTCATCTTTTGCTTTCTGTAGTAGCCGATTATAAGCTGACTTTTGCGATTGAAAATTCGAGCATTTCTTTCATTTCAAATTTCCCATAAAACTAAGATGATCAGAGAACACATTCCTTTCATGGAGTTGCAAGGTATGGTTGAGTGGAAGGTCCACCATTGATGAAGAGATTAGGCTTCCGACCAGGAAGGTGAAAAGAGGCCGTTGAGTCCTATCAATGCGGCAAAAGTTTCTCCCAAATGTGCAAGGAGTATTTGCAATGAGCAAGGAGGTGAAGGACAGTTTCTTGCTTTCTACGACAGAGGGGGGCAAACAACTTGGGCCTATGCGACATCCAAAGTCTATTTTGGACAGCGAACCATCCGAAGAATTTGCATTTAGGTGGTGCCCAAACTTTTCAAATGAGTGTGCCAAAGTCGGTTGTTGTTGACCCTAAGAATTGAGCTCTGTAAACTGAGTTTGCAAAATATTTACCATCAGCGGAGAGCTTCCAAGAGATCCATCAGGAACATGTGGACACAAATTTACACCATGTATGTACCATACGCCATGTTATCACGTACTCAATAAAATGTTGTGCAGTGAAACCACAGTGCTGCAAGTTAAGATCCTTGATCCAGTTTTGATTTTGAGAAGCAACATATAATGATTTATTTTTTGTTTTTAAAATCTTTGAAGAGGTTCGGCGCAGTGTCTTATTTTAACCTTTGTCCTTGGCTCTAGGCCCCATACAAAAAGGGACTTTTCTTGCCATCCCCAATAGTAATATTTATCGCAGCTATAAAGAAAAAGGCAGCAAAAGGAGTATTTGCATACAAGAGAATAAGGGGAAGAAAAAGAAAAGGATGGTTTTATGATCAAGCCGGATGCGTGACTACCTTATATTAATCCTTCCTGACAATTTTGTTCTCAATCAAAAGGCCATGATTTATTTATTATGCATGATATTAGAATGTCAATTTTAATATTTTTTGTCTGCAATGCTGAGAATGGTAAATGACAAGGTGCGTGGCTAAATTTACAAAATTTAGTTTGCAGTCAGATGGTACATGGAAGAATTGTATTACAAGATCAATGCATGATATTTGTATGTATATCGCAAGTTAGAAGTTGGCAAACCTCGATCAAGATAATCTAATCTTGTTGTATATATGGTTATAAGTCGTAAGAATATGTAGTATGTCGACAGTAGTACGTCCTAGAAATACTCGAAATCCGTGTAAGACTCGCCGGAGTTTTGCTTTCCGGCCGGACCAGCTGGCGCCGCCTCCACGGCCGCCGTTGTACTGCTGTCGGACGCCTTCTTCTCCTTGGCAGCTCCGTACTGCCGGAAGTCCACCGGGTCCGGCACCGACGGCGGGCTCATGCTCCTGACCAGCGCCCAGTTGACACCCTCGAAGAACGGGTGCTGCTTGATCTCCGTGGCGCCCCTGGTGAAGGCGATCCTCTTCTGTGGGTCCTTGACGAGCAGGCCGCGGATGAGGTCCCTGGCGACGGAGCTGACCGCCGGGCCCCCGGTCGCGCCGTCGGAGGGGAAGCGCAGCGGCTGCTCGATGACGTTGCACAGCGTGGCGCGGTTGCCGGCGCCCTTGAAGGGCGTGGAACCGTGCAGCAGCTCGTAGAGGAAGATGCCGAGCGTCCACCAGTCCACCGCGCTGCCGTGCCCCTCGCCGCGGATGATCTCCGGCGCCAGGTACTCGTGCGTGCCGACGAACGACATGGAGCGCGCGTCCGTCGGCTCCGCGTTGAACTCCACCGCGGGCGGGCCGCTGAGCCCCAGCTCGCTCTTGGACGGCTTCCGGCTGCGCCGGGGAAGGATGCGCGGGAAGAAGGACGACGGCTGGATGCACCCCTGGTTGGAGGTGATGACGTCGCCGTCCGCGACGTCCACTCCTCTGCCGACGCTGCTGCTGCCGCCGCCTCCTCCTCCCCCGCCTCCTCCGCCTCCGCTCCCGGTGGAGTGCACCGACGACGACTTGACCAGCGTCGGGCACACGGTGCAGCGCAGCGACAGGTCGAAGTCGGAGAGCATGATGTGGCCGTCCTCCCGGACCAGCACGTTCTCCGGCTTGAGGTCCCTGTACACGATCCCCAGCATGTGCAGGTACTCCATGGCCAGCAGCACCTCGGCGACGTAGAACCTGGCGGCGGGCTCGGTGAAGTGCTTGCCGGGCTGCTTCTGGCGGAGCGAGTGGAGGTTGCCGCCGCTGCAGTACTCCATGACGAGGCAGTAGAACTTGTCGGTCTCGAAGTGCGTGTAGAGCGTGGGGAGGAAGGGGTGGTCCAGGAGGCCGAGGATCTCGCGCTCCGTCTGCGCGCGGGCCATCTTGTTCCGGCTGATGATGGACGCCTTGTCCATCACCTTCATGGCGAAGAAGGCCGGCGTGGCGCGGAGCTCCACCAGGTACACGCTGCCGATGTCGCCGTAGCCCAGGCGCTTGAGCAGCCGGAAGTGGCCCAGGTTCAGCTGCGCTTCCTGGGACGTGGCCAGCTGGATGGCGTCCCACCGGCTGTCGCCGCCGGTGTGCCGCCGGACGTTGGCCGGCATGGTGCCCGAGGCTGTGCTGCCGCTGCTGCTGCTCTCCATGCTGTTGCTTCTCGGCCCGCCGCTGTCCACGCTGGTGGCTTCAGCATTATTATTGCCCGCCATCGCCGTCGCCGCAGCGACGATGGCAGCGCCTGTCGGTTCGGAGCTACTTTGGGGCGGCAATGGCGTCGTCGTCGCATGCGTTGAACCGCCATGGCTCGTCTTGGGCTTGGATTTGTCGCTGTCGTGCGAATGTGCAGACGGCTTAGAGGCGGTGGATTCAGCTCTGAACTCATCATCACTGTCATCGTGTTCGAAGCTGCCGGGATTGCGTTTGCCGCTCTTTCTTTGAGGGCTGAAGTCCATGCCGTGCTCCGTGATGGGAAGAAGCTACCTGAATCGATCTATCTGAAACTTCACACACATGGCAAATCATCAACAGCCTTGCACTGTGTGACACAAATCTTCCTCCTGTTCATCCTTAAGCTGAATCTATATATATTATATTATTATATATATAGGTAGATAATATATTGACAGGGTCTTTTTGAAATTATTATAAGGATTTGGTATCTACCCCCATTGATCATCATCTAACCCCAAGAAAACAAAAACGAATCACACATCAATAGTTTGCATTGCAATAGGATGGTGACCACGCAGTAAACACAAACCTGACGAGTAAAATCTTGATGAATGCTTTGAGCGACAAATGATCAGAGAAATCGACAGAAGGTATTATGCGCCCTGACATTGCTCTGAGCAAAACCTACATGATCGAAGAAAAAATGAGGTATGCAGTCGATCGGCTTGCACCAAAACGAGAGGATCGCTTTGGTGGGAGAGGTAAAGAGTGAAAATTGCTTTGCAAACATGGGCATGGATTCGTGGGGTTGCGAGACATCCGTGGGATGGAGGGCAAGTAGACGATGAAGAAGCCATGCATGGCTAAATTTAGAGAGAGGGGAGAGGTGTTGTGCTCACGTGATCACCATGGTCGGTCTCGCTTTCTTTTCCCAGGAGCCTAAGAGGTGGTGTTGTCTCATGGCAGTCCTCTTATAGAGTAGAAGAAAGATGCAGAGAGTCAACACACACCATACTACGTACTCTTCATTCTCGTCCGAACCTATGTACTCGTGAAGGTCGTACTCCAACAGATATGATATCCAATCTCCTATACCTAAAGAAATAGACGACTGGACATCTAGCTAAGTTGGTTAGATAGGCTCTAGTAGCACTCATACTCCCCATGGGAGCGAATGTAAAGATGGGGTTAACAAAATCCCCTTGCCTGTCCAAGACTAAAGCACCGGTCCTAAATCATAGGTCTAACAACCAGCCTTGGTTCTCATAGTGTAGCGATGCCGCTCTGTATGGATGAAATATGAGATTTGGGTAGCACCGGTCTTAAAGCATAGGTTGAAGAACCAGCCTCGGTTCTCACATGACAACGGTGCCATTGTGTATGAGTGAGACATGGTTCGAGGATTTTCTCGACCTGCATGAGGTTACCTTCTATTATAAGCAGAAATGTTCAAGGGTTATCTTTACCCTGTGGGTTGATTTTTGTTTTACCTAGAAAATAGCATTATAGGAGATGGAAGTGTTGTAGGCTGCAGTACATCTCCTAGAGTTATAATTATAATTTTATGAGATCTTAAAAACAACCTACTGTCTCCTAAATAAAGGAGACAACCCCTCTCCACTATCCCTAAAGAAATATAGGAGTTCAAATTTTAGGTAATATGCTCCAACGGTGCTCTTTTATCCTAAATTAATTCTAAGGCACTCTCATAAAATAACTTATAAGAGATGCAATAAAAAGAGAACAGCTATTTTCTCTCTTAAAATTGTGTTTTACATGACGAGTTCCATCCAAAACATCATTTCAACAATTCTCATGTTTTTTTTTTTCACAATTATCAAAATTAAACTTCCACTGCTAACAAGTATATTTTTCTAGAGTTCACTAAACAAACCTAAACAAGATGCAGATCTATTCTATGCCCAACAAGTTAACTGTACCACTCAAAATCCAAATTTAGGTAGGTATGTGTAGATTAGAGTGATTTAGACAACACAAACTTAAGTTTAGACTTTAGATACCCAAATGACATGTACTGCTGATATACAGGTTTGCAAACCAAAAGGCACATTTTTCAATTACTATTTTTTCTTCCCATCCATGTGTCCAAGACCCTGAAGATCTCATTAACATAATTATCAGTAAAAAGACAAATATTAAAGCAAACCCTTAAATAATTTTTGAACTAGCAAAGATAACCTGATCGGTTGCTTTCCACAGTTACCTCCCCACTTATTCCCAATAGCAAAAATTGACTCAGACTCTACTGTTCTAGAGAATGAGTCCACTTTATCTTTAGCCAACTATCTACCCTTGTTGTGAGCAAGGTCCAGAACCATATGATACAAGTTCTACGCAGAGGGAGAAGACCACAACAGCAAAGTATAAGACGATGCAGGAAGAAAGCACAACACTGAAACAACATTGCCACAAGAAAGTGAACATACTTACAGTTTAGTGAACCAGTTTATCTGCTAAACGCAAGGCCTCGCATGCCTTGCATGCAAAGCTATCTGTACAAATCAATGTCACACTAAGTGCCTCAGGAAGGTTTCATTGGGTAACTAGAAGTAATATTGGCTTCTAACTTGTCAGATCCTGGAAGAACTTAGTAGGGATTGACGGTGGGCAGTACTTCTTTGCTACAAATTTGTACTGTGAGCAGATAGAGGGTAGGGCATTTAGCATCAGTGTAGGTACCAAAGTAATGATTCTCATCAGCAATCACATTATGTATACAAGGCTCACCTTATGCTGACTGTACTTTTCTCTAATTGCAGGAAGATTGCTTCCAGGGCCCAAACGGAAGAGCTGGTGCAGTACACTTACACAACCACGCAACTCAGATGGTGTATACCGCGTGTAGTAGGAAAGTGAGGAATTCTGCTTTTGATCAAGCATAAATGCAAATGTTAGATAATGCAAGCATCAAGGTTTGTTTATTTTTTGGGGGTGAAGAATGCAAACATCGAGTTTAACAATAAAGATTCATAAAAAGATAAGGTTGGGGACATATACCCATGGGTTCTTTATTGGCATAAGGATATACTTCGCCAAGAAAACAGAAGAGGCAGCTACCAATGAAGGTAAATAGCAAAGTAAGCTGTAGTCCAGAAGTGACAGCTCACAAATGTAGTTGGCTAAGAACTCAAGATGCAGAGTTGAGCCCTGCAGAAAGGAAAAAAAAATCAACCAGCACATAGAATTGGTAGGAACTGCAAAACAGTGAAAAGTGTACCTTGTCAAGAACTTGAGCAGCACGTACAAATCTCCTATTAACATGAACAAAAGTAGTATTTAGTATCAGTATGTCCATGATCGTTATTACAGAAACCAATAATACTACCTTAAGAAACATCTTGCCGTAGGTACTGTCATCTCAAACTTCAAGTTATTCAGAACAGAAGCTTCCATTTGCAAAACCTGTTAAACTATGTGTTAGAAGATGAAACTAAGAAATAATAAGGAAAAGAAAAGAGTGTGCTGAGACATGAACCTCTTCCTTAGTGTATGAATAGTCGGTAACATAACAGAGCTCTTCTACTTGAAGTGGGCATATTTCTTCATACTTCCTGAAATTTGAATATATTAACAGCATAATATCAGAACAGAGCACAAAAAATATAGGAAAATAGAAATAGACTAGAATGAAATAATTGGATCTTACGCAGCTATAAGCAAGCAGGCAACACCAACTAATTGCAGTCTGTACCGACTGATCTCTTTGACAGAAAGATAGCGGTCAATGTAATTGACAGTGAGGTATAAGGTTTCAGGAACAAGACGATATTCTTCTGTGACCTGAATTGAGAAAAGGCAATATAACAAACATCAAGAGGGTCAATATTGGTTCATTTAGCTGTAAAAATATGTATTCCTTTCTAAGAGGAAATGCTTACTTCTACAAGCCAGTCTATTAACATCGCCCTCATGGTTTTGCTCATATCTGTCTGAGTGGTTTCCAAAAAGTTCGTTGAAGGCATTTTCCTAGTCTGCAAGAACATTACAACAGGGTAAATGCGGGTAGCAATTGCCCCCCCAAGGAGGCAAGTAAGTGGATAACTAGGAGCAACCAAACACAAGCTTCATAAAAGTGGGATATTATGTGCAAACAATATAATGTCCTGCAACACACCACCACCAATTTTTTTTACATCAAGAAACTGCTAAATGGAATGCAGAGTTGCATGAATCATAATGACAAACAAATCCAGCCATTGTATAGAGGTGTGAGTAAACCACCTGCTGAGGCTAACACTTTGTAGAACACTAAGAATTGCATGCTTTGTTCAAACGAAATGAATTTGAAAATGCTTCTATTCGAATTCTTCGGGTGTTTGCATTCCAACCATATAACAACCTGAGCACAAAACGTGTACTTAATTTTCAGACAGTTGTTGATATTAGCACTCCAGCTATTACTTGATGCTCAGTATACACATATATATCAAAGGCAAGACCATGAGCAAAAACTATCACCTCAGCCTCTCGCAAGCTCTCGTAAATTTCACAGGCAAGAGTTGTAGAAAGCCATGGATCCTTATAGTTGTAGTCAAGATCAATTATATTGTCAGCTTTCAGAGGATTAGGACTATGTTTCCTCCAGTTGAATTCTGCGACAATAAACAAGTCCTGTAAACCCAAAATGTATTAAGCATTGCACAAAAATTCTAACCAGAACTGCCCCCATTTTGATAAGCAAACAAACAAGTCTGCAACATCCATACTATCAGAGAAATGAAGTCTATCACTGGCCCACCAATGCAAAGAAGCTGCCATTGAGGGGTCGTCATCATTGAGGCACTCAAGATCAGAGATTTCTGTTGAGTTGCATGTTGACATAGCATCCTCCATGGAGACCGAACAATCTTGAGACAGGCCAGGTGAGCTGCAACCTGTTGATACAACGTCTGCCACAGAAGGAAGAGATGTGTTCTTCTGAAGAACTGATACTGCCTGATCAAATTGGTCAGAGGCCAGCCTTCTGCTAGAACCCCGTTCTGTGTTCACATTGCGCAGGCAAACAAAGGATCCCTTCTTAACATCAACTGGTTTGGTAGAACTCAATTTCTGTAGTAACAGGAAACTTTAAGGTTGTTTATTGAAGTTGTTCAATTGGAACGATTACAATGATAAAACAGAGAACTACATAAGCATATAAACTTCACGAGAGAAACAATATATTACCAACAGACGAGTAGAAACTGTGCAATTCTGTAGTAAGAGGAAACTTTAAAGTTGTTCAATTGGAACGATTACAATGATAAAACAGAGAACTGCATAAGCATATAAACTTCACGAGAGAAACAATATATTACCAACAGAAGATTCGAAACTGTGCAATGCGCATGAAACACCAGTATCTCTGAAGCACCCAGCACCCCCAAAAACTTTGAAAAAACCTAAAGTTGCAAGTTGCTCGATTCCAGAAACACCAAAAATATCTCTTACGACACCACGAAATACAATATTGTCTTAAGACCCGTGGAACAGAACCAAGTATTTCATTTTAGAAGGCAGCCAAATAAAAAAGAGAAGGAAAATCAATATCTCGAGAAGATGTCAGCAAATGTTGTTACAATGATCGAGAGAATGCGGAATTAACATGTGCCGTTATTAGATCAACTAGATCGAGAGGAGGGCAAAACGGCATAAACCCTAGAAATACCACACGAAACTGAAGTAATTGAATTGATCAACAGATGCTCCCTGTACGGCTGTACCAAAACCCATGGCAAATTCCTACGCGTGGCGTGGCCCCCTCCTACCAACGAGAACCCAAGCATCGAACCTCCTGGAACGAATCGATCAGATAACGCCCCGCCCCCGATCGTGCGAGCGCACAAGGAGGAGCCGTACCGCATCGGACGTGGAATTCGCCGCGCCGGACCTCCAGCCGCCGCGGAAGACGTTGGTGAGGTTCCCGAGGGCGACGCGCTTCCCGGACCGCGCCACCGCCTCCTTGGCGCCCCGCGCGCCGGCGTTCTCCGCCATGGCCGACGCCGAGGAGCGGCGCCCTGCTGCCCAGCACGACATTGCGGGAGAGCCGTGCGGTGGAGTGGGCGCCCGTCGGTGCGGAAGTTCTGAGCTGCCGCGGTTTGATACTGAGCCCCACAATTTGTTTGGGGAAAAAGTTTGAGAAAATTACTTATCCGTCACTAAAAATTTCCTTTATTCTCTAGTTTTTTTGAATTACACAGTAACTCATACTTGTCCCATGAACCCACGTACACAAACCCTACCCCCATGAGCACCTCCGAAGAACTAAGCCGGCAGATCTCGAAATTCACAAAGTCACCACTGACGCCTCACTATCAATGGGGACGTCGCTTACCATTGAAAGCATAGCACCGTTAAATTCTAAAATAAATCTATAAAAATACGAACACCCATGCCAAGTTAAGGGCTTGAACCGAATAGACAGGTTTTACCACAAAAACCTAACCAATTGATCTACCGTAAAAACTTTTTAACCACTATATCTATCATCCACTTTGATTTTTTTCCCCTATATACCACTTCAGTTCACTTTGGACCCATATGACAGTTTAGTGTTCGTGATAGAAGTCAAAAGTACCCTTACATTCTTATGTATCCTATCGGCTCTCTTTTTTCGGCCGGTCATCTCAGTAAGGTTTCATATCACTGTTTTTAAGACTCACATATACTGAAAACAATGTAGACATGTTACGTCCTATACTTCCCTATCCCATAAAAAACTTATGTCACATCATATCCCATAAAATTTTATAAATCTTGGAGAAGTCAAAGTTTTTCTCTTATATAACAAAACTAATAGTATCATTAGATTCTTCATGTCACATATTTTTATATTATACCTATTTAATCAATCTTTGTGTTTACTAATATTATGTCACATCACCCTCTAAAATTTTTAGAATGACTTATAATTTGAGATGGAGAGAGTACTAATAAAACTCTTGTAAAATCCCCGTTGGCCAGAAGCATATCCCCTCGTCCACTCTCCTGATCGAGGTCAACGGCAGAGGGGCGACTCGGCTAGGTGGCGCTAGCAACGGAGAGGCAGCACAACTATGTGGCATGGCAGCAGTGCCTACATTGTGTTCCGGTGGAAGGGTGGCTCCGTGGGCACTAGCGGAGGTGCGGCTGGCCAGGCGAAGGAGTTGCTTGGTGGGTCGAGCGACGTGACGAGCCAGACACCTAGGTGGAGGGATGGTGCAGTGATCTGGGAACAGAAGCCCAGGCATAAATACAGTGATTGCATGGTTTCTTCTAACAAATCACAATGTTTTAAATAGCCGACTATGACACTTAGCGATCTATCTCCCAAAATAGCAAATAGCCGGCTATAGCGACAGATAAAAGCTAAGTTGTACACGAAAAAAATTAGCTAAATCCGTCTCAAACAGCTATAGCCGGAGATAGCGGATAGCCACAGATTTAGAACCTTGATAAATCGTTCCAACTAAGATCAAGCACCTTCAATTGCTTTGCTAAAATCAAGGCCTCCACCAGTTCCTCGGCAATCTGCCAAGAAGAATAACAGTTTAATGTTTATCTACTATGAACTTGCATGGCTTCTTTGTGGACCAGACGTGGCGCAACCCCTCTAATTGGCTATTTCCTGAAAGTAGCAAAACTGCAGAAGATTATCCCCTCAAACAAAAAATGCAGAAGATTATTAACTTGATGGGGAGACATGCACAGCTCCTTTAATACTGCATTATGGGAGATTTGTGTTTGCAGACCAATGTTTTAAATAAACAATACTAATGTATGCTTTGTTCTAAAAATAAATTATGCACTAGTAAGTCACAAATTGTTATGTATTTGTATCCGAGTGGTATGAGTGGTAAGGAAAGGAAAGCTATCAGATTTTATAAGAGGAAGTACATAGGGGTAAAATGATTTTTTTCCCAGTCCCACTTAACAACAACTAACTGTAAACTTGACGGAAGTGATAGATAGGACAAGAAAGTTGGATGGTAGATAGGGGAGTCAAAAAAAAAAGTTAGGGAACCAAGAGAATTTTCAGTCGCAGATAAGAAATTTTGTTAAAAAGTTTCAGGTTGCGGTTGCACCCGAGTCCCACCTCCGTACCCCAAGTCTGTTGTGGCAGCAAGTATAGAAGTAGTGAAGCACGTTCCCTTCATCTAACAAGTGTATCTTGACTAAGAAAAAAAACAAATTTATAGATTCTATAGATTTTATAGATTTGCATTCAAAGTGTCTAAGATGATATTGATTGTTTAAGAATTGATAATAATATGGTGTAAGACACTAAGATCAAATTTACTTTGTATGTCTTTTTTTTAATCAGAATAAAAAATTCAAAACATGCCTTATATGGATGATATGATTTGACTTAGTTAAGTTTTGTGATGCAACCGTATACTCTCTAATTTAGTTTCAGAACTTTTGTTTGTCATTTTCTTCTGCACTCGCATGAACAAGCTTTCTAAAGGAGTGTCTCATTGTGAAATGTCTCTTAAGGTACCTTGTTATGCCTATTTATCATGGTAAAACGACCAAAAAAGTTCATGTGTATTTTGCACACAAAAAGTTAAATTCTACAAAGTTTGACCAACAATTAGGCAGATTATAAACAAGTTTTTTTTTACTAGTTTAGTACATAAACTTTCATCAAGATTTGTATTTAAAGTGTCTCTGAGATGATATTTATTCTTTAGAAAATGACAATATATTGTAAGAAAAATTAAGTATCAAAATCTATTTTGTGTAACTTTTTCTATTCGTAATACTTATTATTTCAGTACGTATGATCAGGAGCGACCGGATCAACAATCTTCTCTATCAATTAGTGTCCTCTACCCTCTGGATGGGATGCGAGCACCTAGGCATCATCTCCCCTGCCTCCTCTCTCCCCTACTCCCCTACAGCCCACTTGACTCACCTCCCCATCTCTAGTAGTAAGAACACCTATGTCCAACTTTTCTCACCACACTAACCCAATGCCATTAGGCCGCATCCATGCTCCCATCCCCATGCCTTGGTCACTGGCTATGTACTACTCACGCTGGTGAGTGGTATCTTTTCTTGTTGTCACACCGTCCATTTGTGACAATTGGAATTATGTTTGCCTCTATGGACCTCTCCCTCAGCACAATAAATAATTGTGGTCTCTAGTCTCTAGAGTACCACAAACCTAAACTAGGGTTGGACAAAAAAAACTCATTGAGCTACCTCGGTAGCTCATTTCAAAAATGCTTCATTGAACTCAATTTTCATTTGAAAAAAATGGGATTTTAAGTGACTTTTGACTTTGGCTCCGCTTGAAATTGGATCTTAAACAATTCAGGAGAACATGATAAATAATATTATGCCGATTTCAAAGAAAGCTCGAAAAAAGTATAGTTGGCTCGTTATCCACTAAACCCTTAGACTTTAACCTTCCTACATGAAGCAAATGAGCCATATGAAGCTCAAAATTCGTTGTAACTTGGAAGTAGAGTAAGCTTGAAGTCATAATTAGAAATGTGTGTTTTAGCAATCAAAGACAAATTAGTTAAGGAACTAAAGACTTCACCAATTGTGGATGGGTAATCATAGGCCGTGGAGTCCCCTAATTTCAACGGATTGTGCCTTATGAATCAATAAGGTTTAAATTCATTTTATATTTAGTGTTACTAGTATAGAAAAAAATGGTACAATCAAGGGAGATGCGATTCATTATGCTTGAAGTTGTCTCTAAGCTTAAAAAAACACTTTTCAAACAATAAGAGACATAAACACTCAAGAAATCCTTGTGCAAACCTGATATCTTTTGCTTATCGGAATGCCCGGCACCTTGCCATGTCTGCCTGTGGTTATCGAAGTGTCTGGACAGGCATAAGGACCAAATGGCCTTGAGGGTTGAAATGGGGCTCTATCAAATTAAAGGAACAAACTTAGCCTATTCAAACTCTACATAACCCACTTGCACATTTAGGCCCTAGAACTAAGTAAGATCACACTAAATGGAGTTGTTAGGGCCATCACACTAAGTCAAGTCTTTAGCCATAGAACACTAGCAATAGGTCCTTAGATATGCATGCATAATTGAAACCTATCTAGAACACCACACTAAAGACAAATTCAAGTCTACTTGCCCATCAACATCTTGAGCACTCAAAGATTGCAAAAAAATGTAAAAGATGGATAAGAGAGAACCGAGATTTTCTTGTGGTATCAAGTAGTTGCCGCTACCCGTGATCCAAGTTGGAGCACCCACTAAGGGTTAAGCTCTTTTAAGTCACTAAGGCTACCCATTCTCTACTCCGGATTAGTAGGTCTCAAAAGCACAAAGTTAGGAGCCGCCCAATAAGAACTCCACTGAGAGATACCTAGTCATCCACCAAGTCATGTAGATGTTAGAAAATACCAAGAGTAACAAGTCTTCAACTTCCACTTGATCAAACTCAAAGTCAAGAGCAAAAGGATGCGCACAAACATCACTCCAACTAAGCTCTTATGACTTGAAATGCCCAAGTGTTAGAAACGATATGCAATATAAACGACGAAGAACAGTAGATCAAACACAGGGGACACGAGATTTTAACGTGGAAAACCCTTCCAAGAAAGAAGGGAAAAAACCACGGGCACAAGCCAACAAATCTTCACTATATTGGGTGAGGTTACAAACGTCGGGGATTTACAACTTTTCTTATCCCAAGACAACGGCTTACAGGAAGTATATATAGATGGAAAACCCTAGTAGGCGACGATCCATATCGAGGGGGGGCAAAGCCCTCCCCCCACCCCCACCCCCACCCCCCGAGGCGCGGTAGGGAAACATGATGGACTAACTTCAACCTCCGCTTCGCTTCGGCCCAAGCCTCTCGTGCGACGGGCCTCGCTTCGCTCCGGCAGAAGTTAGCATTTATCTTGTACATAACTGAATTTGGATCACAACTCAACACTAAAAACCCTTCACAAAACTTTTCCAATATGTGACACCAGGGGTCAAGAGCACCAAATAAACCAAGGGTGGACAGGCAACCGTTGGAGAAAGGTTATTGATCCTCACTGAGGAGCACCGGTGGTGACCTTATTTT